TCGCTTCAATGATCGACTCGGGGGAATGAGAAGAGTGTTCTAGGAGGCTAGAAGATGGATGAAAAGCGTTTGGTATGTCAAGAAGTATGGGAATAGGGAGATTTTTGGCTCCTAAGGTGGAGGAAGTGGTTCCGGGAAGGATGAAGATCTTTCGCCCAACACGATCATGACTGTCGGTTTGGTTCTGGAGGAATAAAATGAAGAGTCGGATATTGGACTATGGTTGGGTGATTGTGATGTAGAAATCATGACCAGATAACGAGCCTGGGATGTCTTTTGCATCATGGACGCTACTTGCAGATGTCGAGCTTTTGATAGGAGCGATCAGTGCGGTTGGATGTAAGAAACGGAAGCAAACGCACTTGCCGAGTCCTCCTATGAAGCTGATTACTTCTGTCAACCATTCTCGCGTCACTGGTGCTGCGATGATAGCGCGCGTTTGAGATGGAGGTGTAAGAAGAGTCGAGACAGTCGGAGTTTGAATTTCTTTGCATTAACCCGTGTTCTAATGGTGAGCACTTCCAGTTCAGAGTTTTACGCCAGAGTTATATCGCTGACTTTCTCCGCGCTCAAAAGAACCCCAAAATCACAGGGCTTCTACTAGGTACTAATAGTAGCGGTGAGATTTCGCGTTACAACAACTGCGTGTTATAGTCTGTATATGAGCAGTGTTGGCGACAACGATGACTACGGGCGAGGATTGTATAATATGCGTTGGCTAGACGGCACCTCAGATGATGTTTCCCTGCCTTCTGACCCGAATGCAAATACGGGTGCTAGTATAGTCATGTTTTCATCTTTATTAGAAGTTATACGACTCGGATTTTCTTTCACTGCTGTTCGGGACGACGATCATGTCGACGAAGTACGATTATGAACGATACTACGAAATCCATAGCCTCTGAATCCAATAATTGTAAGCTGCGGCTATCTTTCTACGAAAATTTTCTTTCCATACACGAGAAATCATCTCTACATTCCGGTCACCGAACAGAACTTTAACAGTAGTGATGTCTTCCGAGGCGACAATACCATCTGAGAGAATTTGTGCTATCCGTTTGATTACCGTCTTAGATATCGTTAAATTCACGGCGCACGCATGCTTTGACACATAGAATAAACTCGGAATTGCATTCAAGTCTTTTGAACGCGACAACTTACCCATTTTTATTATGTACTTAACGGCTAAAGAAGGATACCAACTCAAATTTATTGTTACAAGGTGCTACTACGTATCATTTACACAAAAGCAATACTAGAGATTTGGATTTATATACATTTTTGTAGACAAAGTTACGCAAGCGACGAATCAGGACACATAGAAAAGAACTAAACATCAACTTGAAGTTTGTCCAACTCGGCGATTTCCTTGGTACACATCTCCGCCTCCTTGGCGACATTAAAAGCGTCTTTAGCCTCTTCAAACTTCTTCCTGGCTTCCTCATACTTCTTGACATCTTTGAAAAGCATACCATAGTAATACAAGTACCATCCAATTGCAAATGGCTGGCCCTCAGAAGCCGAGTAAGTCGCAATGGCCTCATTAAATGCAGATTCCGCTTTTCCAAACGACTGCTGAGCTTCGTAGACTTTTCCCAAGGTATAAAGAGAGTTCGCAGCAATGGAATGTTCTCCAGCAATATTGGCTTCAGCTTTGGCTTTCAGTAGCATGTCAACAGCTTCATCATATTTTTCCTCAATCCTTTTGATATCCCCTTGGACTTGAAGGGCCATGGCTACTCTCCTGTGAACCCCAAGCTTTTCAAATGCTGCTTGAGCTTGAACCAGTATCTCAGCAGCCTCTTTGTATTTGGCTTGAAGGAAATAAGTATCACCAAGGCCATGCAGACATTCAGCCCTTTCATACTGATTTCCTGAATCCAATTGGTCAAAAATTTCCTTGGCCTGCAGAAACACTTCAATGGCTTCACTGTATTTTTCTTGCATTGCATATGCATGAGCAAGAATTTTGAGACATTTGGCTACTTCATCCTGATGTCCAATTGCTTCAAATTCACCTTTGGCTTTAATGAGTGCCTCAGTTGCCTCATCATAGTTGAAAAGCATTCTGTGGACTTCTCCCAAAATCTCAAGGCACTGAGCTGCTCCAAGTGGATTTTTCATTTGTTCAAAATTCTCCCGAGCCTGGACAAGCATTTTAATAGCTTCATCTCTCTCTCCCAGCATTCGCTTCATATCTGCAAGTCTCAAAAGACACTGGTTTGCCTCTAGAGGGTTACCAATCTCCTCAAACTCCTTTTGAGCTTTGATCAACATCTCAGTGGCTTCATCATATTTGCTCTGCATTCTCATATTATCACCAAGAGTACGCAAACATTGAACTGGCCCAAGCTGATGTCCAATTTGCTCATAAATCTTCTTGGATTTAAGAAGCATCTTCTCAGCCTCTTGATAGTCCCCTTGAGACTGATAGATACTTCCCAAACTGTGAAGACATTGAGCTGTTGACATTTGATGACCCATTTGCTCAAACATCTTTTGGGCTCTCTCCAGTAATTCAATGGCCTGACTATATTCACTACGCATTTGATGGATGTATGCTAGAGATTTGAGGCATTGTGCTAGTCTCAATTTATCTTCTGTCTTTTCAGCTTGCTTCTGAGCTGCCAAAATCTTCTCAGTAGCTTCATCATACTTGCTCTGGTTTTTCAGAACATTTCCCTGAATCAGAAGACACTGGGCTACTCCCTGTGAAAGATTCAATTTCTCATATTGCTCCTGTGCCCTAACCAGCATCTCCATTGCTTCAGCATGTTTCAACTGCATCCCATAGATTTCACCAATAGACTCAAGGCAAGAAATTGCACCAGAATCATTTGGAGCAATCTGCTCAAACTTTTTCTGGGCTTCTGTCAAGAATTCCATTGCTTCCTTTGTTTTGAACTGGGTATGATAAACATTTCCAATATCCAAGAGGCAATGAGCAACTCCCAATTGATGATCAATCTTCTCAAAGTTCCCCTTGGCTTGTGAAAGTATTTCAATGGCCTCTGTATATCTGCCCTGAACCTGATAGACATCTGCAATGAATGAAAGGCACTGAGATACTTCTTTCTGACATCCCAATCTTTCAAACTTGCTTTGAGATTGCTTCACCATTTCAACAGCCTTGTTGAATTCTCTCTGCATCTTATAAACACCTCCCAAGCTCTGCATGCAAAGAGCCACCCCCTTTTCATCTCCAAAAGACTCAAGTTCCTGCTGAGTTTGTGTGAATGCTTCAATAGCCTGAGCAAAGTTTGCCTCTCTTGCATAAAGCTCTCCTAAGCTCTGGGTGCACAAAACTGCACTGTACTCATCCCCAAGCCCTTCAAAGTTTACCCGGGCTTCCATAAGCTTTTGCATGGCATCAGTTACTTTATTCTGAGTTTTATCAACTTGTCCAAGGTGCATGAGACAGTGGTTTGCTTGAAGTAAGTCTTGTGCTTTTTCAAACTCCTTCTGGGCTTTGGTGAGAAATTCAGTAGCTTCCTCAAACTTGGTTTGCATCATGAAGATCATTCCAAGTTTTTTGTAGCAGTCGGCTGTTTCGTATACATTCTGAAGTTCTTCAAAGCTTTTTTGAGCTCTGAGCGTCAAATCCTTGGCTACTTCGTGTTTGTTTAAGATGAAAAAAATGTCCCCAAGGTTCTGGAAACAAATTGCGATTTCTTTGGTAGAAGAATCATTGAGAAGATTGTCCTGGATCGCTTGAAGATCTCTAAATTGCGTTTAAAACATTAGCGATGATTAGTAAATAGTAATACCAATGTACATACTTTTCGATTGCACCCATGCTACTCGTCATGGACATGTTCTGCTTGAACCCAAAGACTGAGAGAAACCTCTGGAACGTGTCCGGGTTGTACGGAGTATAGGTAACATGGACAGATCCCAAAATAGACTGGTCGAGTGCAGAATTCTCTTTCGCATCCGGACCACCTTTCGCCAAAGTAAAAGCTTCGTAACTGTACGTAGCGATATCAATAATGTCGTTGCTTTGGGGGTCTTTCTTGTCGGTAACCTAGTCAGATTTAGTTAATATACTCTACGAGGACTATACATGCGCATAGTAACATACCTCTGCGACTTCAATGATATATAGAACAGCTCTCACGGCTTTCTCCAGGTGCTGGACGTTGGCAGACTTCATCAATTCCGACTTGGCGCCGGCCCAGTCGATTTTGCCACTGGAAAGGAACCCCGGCTTTGCCTTTGCGCTCGACGCGTCCGAATTTTCTTCCTTTGGTTTCGATCTACCGAATAAAAAGGACATTTTTCTAGAGGGAAGCAAGATCAGTAGTAAGTATTACAATAAGAAAGTTATACCCACGTGTTTTGAGTCAAACTCGAGCTGACGTGTTCTTCGGTGTAGAAGGACGTGTGGGAGTTTTGCAACTCGTTTGATGGGAACGTGATGGCAGTATTACTGAATTGACTTGAACTTTATTTCACTGTCTTGAACGTTATTCCTGTATTTTGAATTGATTTTGAACTTTATTCACTATTTTTGAACCTTATCCTTGTGATGCCGGAATAAAGCCGAAACGGATGACATCACTATTCCGCGTCAGGATTTCATACATAAGATACTACCGGGATACTTTCGTATTTTTTAAATACTGCTATTTTGTTGCCGGAGTCGAGATGTGGGACTTGGGCGGGGATCAAAATTCTAGATTCTAGTAATGATGCATCTGTAAATTTTTTTGAGCGGATTTGATGAGGGAGAAAACAGTACAAACATACGAAAGCACTTCTGGGCCAGGAATACACTTCCAGTACACAAATAGTAAATATAACTCGACCCTTTTTGCTAGTATTGCTGCGAGATTGAGGCACTGTGGGCCATGCTGTGATTAAGTACAGCTTTCACAAGTATGTTACAACAATCTGCGGAGATCACGATGAAAAATGCTCGAGGGTTATCCCGGTGAACCACACTCTGTCCCGGCAGCTCAACAAAAAGAACATTGGGCAAGGCCTCAATCTACCACAATTGCTCCCTGCAAGGCTCGAACTTGCGACCTCGAGATTTCTCGCCGCATCGGCGATCATATGAGACTCGCGCTCTACCGACTGAGCTAAGGAAGCGATAACTACCTTCAAAAACTATGGTAATTCAAGAGAAATGTGACCAGTTACTTGACAGTATTGGGCTTGAGAGTATTCGACAAATCTACGCCCACACACCAAGTGCCTAGACAACTCAGAATATAAATATCGAGAATATGACATTCATAGATGGACATAAAAGTCAAGTTGCGCCTCATGTGTTATTATTGCTTGGGGACCCAAAATCATCAGCTGTACAGTTTGAGGTTCTTTACAGCCTATTCTATCACGAAATCACTTGCAATGTTATTCCAGCTGGAGTACAATATCTTTACGGACTTGATGATATGAGCGGGTTTCAATAGCCCCGTTTCAGCTGATCTCCAGTAAATCTATCCAAAGTCTCTTCATCCCTTGATACAAAACCAGTCCCGAAATCAGAGTGCTTCACCATCTCTTGGCGGACACTAACAGGGAGGCTGCCAAGTCCAATCTCGTCACGTCTGGTATCAGAGCTATTACCGCTGATATGAACGACGTTGGAGCTGGCATTTACGGATTTTTGACGGTTGACTCGGACTGAGATGAGGGTAAATGATATGCCCTAGATGAATGTGCATCTTGTAAGCATAGTGTTCAGTGCGAAAGGCTATTTGATTTGTGACTTACAATGATAGGACTTATCTGCAAGGTCAAAGTCTCAGTAAAGTTTCTTAAATGAGGAAAGCAGTAACATACCATGTCGATAACAATGAATTGCCAGGTTGATTTGGTCATGTATCCAATGAGTAGCAAAATTGCAGTTGCGCTAAAAACAAATGGTCAGCAGACAGTCTTTTCCCCAGAGAATTTACTGACGTGTACAGAGACGCGCTCTCGATCATGATATGCAGGAGAGACTAGCAATGAAATGAGTTCAAGAGAACAGATTAAAGTGATATATGCCGCACCAGAACACTAGTTTTAGAAGACACGTTTAGGACTTGAACTTGGTTTTGGATTTGCCAAACACGGAATATGATCAGGGCTGATTCAGGGATCAATCAGTAATTTAGAATGTGGGGCAAGCATGAAATTTTTTACAAGTTGTCAGTATGTTTATTCTGCATCAAAGGAAATTCAGTCATATTCCAATAATATAGACAAGGAACTTACGCAACAGTACTGGGGAACACCATAGCTGCCCACCGTCCTGCGGTAGACACAAAAACATTTTCGCCTGGAACGGTTTTGGCGAGAGCGACGACAGCTCCAATAGCACTAACTAAACAACTTTATTCACTGCCAATGCCTACCACAGATCAGGAGTTGAACCTACCAACAAAAAGCATGATAACCATTATTGGAAGAAAAATGATGGGGTATTTTTTGTTGTAAACAATCCATAGCCGATATATCTAAAGTAATAAGACTGAGTTTAATTTCTTGGTCCTCATGTCTGTTCGTTGGGCACGCACCATAGTACAATCAGCAATGAATGTTTGAATCAAATATAGCGTCTCCTTCAACAGATTTAACGGATCTGCAGGAAACGCATAATATGCTGTAGCCGGGTCTCCTTTTTCTCCAGCAGTTCTTATGAATGCTATTTGACTTCTGTGAATCTGGACAATCCAGTGCTGAAAGAGATGTAGCATTGAGTAGATGATTTTTATTGTTTTGTCTAAGGAACATACCGAAAATATGAAGCAGAATAGAAGAAAGTTGGCGGTAAAAAGAACTATTAGGATAATTTAGGTGCTGAGCTTGAGCTTAGGCAAAAAAAAACACATACATTTGTTGGTATTTCGAACCTTGCCTACAAAGTTATCATTGACAGTAAAAGGTAGATTTTGGAAAAAGAGGATAACATAGAGGCCTTTAAGACTGTTAGATGTTGCTTATCAAAATCAGCAATGTGGTTTACGCACCAAAAAGGCACGAATGAACAATTAGGCCTATCAGCTCTGCCTGCGCTACAGAAATCTCACTTTCCATCACGGTACGAAGGAAGGGCTGGTAAGGTAGTTATGCAGGGGTATCAGCTTTATAGATACATGTATCACTGTCAAACTCAGGAGACTGTAGCCCTGCACGCAACATATACACAAGCGTTACGTATGGTACAACACAATCGCGGGAGAAGAGCTTTGGCTCAGTAAACTGATGGGAATGGCCCGCTGGAACCGGATAACCTGGAATAAATTCTGGTATAAGAATCAGAATGGTATGAATTCATTGTTGGATACATAGCAAAGGTTTTTCGACAAGGGAATCAAGAAGCATCAGATTTTGGTCAGATTGTATGAAGGCACCATTGCCCTTTCAATTGTGGGTGAGTTAAATAGCTCATTTGAAGTTGCGTGGTGCAGCTGACTGAGATTGCACGGAGCACAAGGGACTCAATCTTTTGTGAACAAACAGCTAAATACCAAAGAGAGCACTCGCGTCGCGTCGACTATGTAAATCTATAGCTGGGGTGGTTTTAGAAGTGGCGAAAAAAACGGCTTCCCGTTTAATTTTGGATATCGATAATCCGGTGATCTGGTCATCTTGCCTATCATCGTGATGAATGCTTTTTTAAACCTTCCCGCCTTGGAGAAAACTTCTGATGGACTGGTCAGCGTCTCTAAGTTCGTCCATTCATCAAGCGTCCGTGTGTATAACAAGGAGATGGCGTAATCTACCTGATCTCAAGAAGTAGATCTAGGATCCTACAGGCTACTAGAACCAAGGAAGGAACAGTTTCGACCCATACAGCGCAGGATTTCAAAAGCAAACTCAGTGCCTCGGTGCCTTCGGAATGGAGCCAATGGTTGTGACATGCTTAGAGCAAGAATTTTGACTCCAGAAGGATTTGAGTATTCTGACTAGCACTTTGCAATAAGACCACTTTGATACCAGTGGAACGAAACACCGTGACGAAACGAAAAGGAAGGCGAGCTGGCGGAGTTTGAATTTACGTTTTTCCCTCCCGCTCTGTCAGTTTCGTCTCCTCTCAAGCTTTTGCCTTGGATGTGTATACAGAGCTGGTGTATGCGTGGTAATAGTCTTTCCCTGGACATTTCCTCATCTGTTGAGAAACTGGAGAATGGGCTGGAGGTGCTCTCAAACGAGGACAGAGGGAGTCCGTGACGGTGCGTCTGTTATGTCCTTTGCTCTTCTACCGATACTCACTATCTTCCCAGGGCTCAAGAACGCGTCATTGTGACCCCATTATCACCACGCCCATCCCCTTATACACGAAACGACAGCGAACTGCGCGCGCGTGCACCATCCTTTTCCTGTCATGGAAATGTCTTAGACGCGCCAGTCATAAATTACTCCGAGTCGCTTCTCCACGGTAGTCCTAGCACTAGCAGTCGCCCTTCACTCGCTCTTACCCACCTTGGCTGAACTGTCTTCTTCAGTACCTTCTTCGCTCGCTCGCTATCCTATCCCCCCCATTTGCATAAACAACACCTCAAGCACGCTTACCGAGCTCACAGAAGGTTCTTCGCCTCCAGGTTATATGGCATTGGTTACAAACAAGTTTCATCTCGAAAACGACGCCTCTCATTCCTATCCCCGGTCTCATTCGCATTGGCCCGTTATCAGTTTATCGACATCTGGCCTGGAACTAAGATTCCTTCCGAATCAGCGTCGATGTCTCTGCGAGTATAGAGGACAGTGATCCTAGTCTTCGGTCCCAGAGGTCCGTAGTGGTTATGGAAGGTTCCTGGGACTCTGGACGGGAAGGATGGTGCCGACGGTCAAAGTAGAAGCGACACCAGGCTTCTGAGGCCGTATTAGCGTGTTCATCGTGGTGTCCCAGCCTGCAGGCTCGCGAACTAAAGAGTTTTTGGAGCCGACGTGCATGATTACAAAAGTGATGATGAAAGAGTCTGCAAAGGTAGCGGGATACGTTAATGTTTCTGTTCTGTATAGTTTATTTTGAATTTGATGATGGAGCCTTTTCATCTGGATCTTCTTTCAGTTTCGAACGTCCTAGGGGCCGAGTGGCCTTTTCGTAGTCTCGGGGAATTATGGATATCCCTAGGAGATAACTTGAAGGATGCATTTTAGACTACCCCAGAAGGATCTTTACGTTTCGCCATCTCTACCAGTATATTTGAAGTGAGACGTTATGAAATAATTGGAGAGCAGAGAACGTGGCGACTACTTACACATTCGCCATTGAGTTTTAATTTTTACTTACGAAGGACGTTGTAATCTTTTAGCATCCGGCGGCGGAACAATAACCATTTTTAACCTAGTTGCGGGATCTTTGTGCCTGAGGTGATATATATCTAGCCCAGTATTCACTTATAAGAACTTTTGTTCATCAGCGTCGTTTCTCCAGGTATCACAATGAAGCTCGCAGTGGTATTTACTTCCCTCATTGCTGCTGTTTCTGCTGTTACTGTAACCGACGTTCCTGCATCCGAGTTCACCTTGACTACATCGGTATTCCTATTAACCACCCACCTGTTGCATCAAAGTAATGTGCAATTTGCAGACCTCATGCTCAGGTTCCCGAGTTGAAGCGGGTATTGCTAGCGGTAAATACGTCGCGCTTCCTCAGGTATGGAATCCATACCTTCAAATCTCTGTTCCTTACTGATGTATGGGGATTGTTACTGCAAACTTGTAGGCATCTGCTGCTGCCAACCAAGGTGGTTGTGGATCATTTGTTTTTTTCCTCAACCAAGTTGATACCTCAGTCTCTTATACTGCTACTCTTGTTGATTTTACGGATGATAATGTTCTCCTTGTATCACCAGTATGTCGCATCATTTTTTCATTTCAAGTAATTGATCTTATACTGTTTCTTTCTCTTAGGTTTCTATGGAAGAGGCTGCTGGTGATGCAGACACTTTTACCGCCACCTATGTTGTTTCTCCCTTGGTTGGATGATGCAGGAGTTGGATAGCAAGATGGTGATCTCGTTTCTTAACAATTGGCCATGTACTTAATATACGTAAATGCTTTCATTGATTTGATGAAAACTGACAATTTATGAGCTTCAATTTCGTTTTCAATTCACCATTTTCTCTTTACCATCCTTCATACGTTCAACC